AAACACTTTAATTAAATTTTTAAATGGAAATCACAAATAATTCTGTGTATCTTTTGATGATAAACTTTACCTCTGCTTTCTTGCATGTGTAACGTGTTCTTTGGATCCTGCTGAGGTTCTTCTCTGAATGACTAACACTAAAGCAACGTGTGTGCTAATGTTTGAGAAACTTCAGACTGCTAGGCAGGAGTTCCAAAGCCACATCCAAATGCTTTACATATTGAAAATATTGGTGTTCTCTGACGTTGTAGTGGAGACTTTCTGGAATTCAGCTTTAGATGCCTTTAGATAACCATGAAGGATTGTTTTCATAACTTCTAATATTTTATCTTTTTTAGCAAGCAGTTTAAAATTAAAATAGACCACTATTTCTTTTAGTTCTCTTTCCTGACATGGCGATTATCACCATCACCAGCATGTCAGCATTCTTACATTCATTCAAAAACGGAAATAAAATGTCAAATCATATTGTCACTGTCAAAACGTGTATTTCATTTATTCTTCAACTTTCATTTTTCTGCCCAGTTTGAACACTACAGTTGTCCTTTACACAGCTTCACAGTTTCATGATGAATGGACCAGTAGAAATGCTCTAAAAGATCTTGGAAGAAATATCTTTATGGTAACTTACATTAAAAGTTAAGAACCTTTTTGCCTTCTCCTGTAAAGTTACCATTTTGGAGAGAGAGTTTTTTTTTGTTTTGTTTTTTTTTTTTGGACAGCAATAATGTACGAATGAACATTTTTTTTTCAGTGTGTGGTTTCAGTTTTTGGAAATTTCAGTTCAAAAATTTTAATCCATTAATGACAAAATAATATTAGTAATATAGTTACTTTGGCTATTAGAAAGTACTGGAACTTTAACCTTCATAATAACTTAGGAACATGTATTGAATTTGCACAGCAGGATTGTGTGTTTGCCATGTCTTGGCTGACTGTCGTCATCTGCGTTTGCGTACTTGCTCTGAGTCTGTTTCCAAGTGTAGTAAACTGGGGAATTCGGTAAGTTAAGCTTATTTGTGTATGTTGACATTTGACACTGTTATTTAGGTGTGCTCAGAAATAAGTCTTTCTGAAGCTGCCATCTGACACAGGCCAGGATGTATTAGTCACAATGTGTCCATGTGGTGCAACAGTGGTATAACGCTTCCGGTTGAGTGCTGCTTTTCTGGGTTATTTTAGTGTTACATGCTCTATTCTGCAGCTCAGCAGGCTAATTAAATTGCCTTTACGGTGCAGGCTGGTGTGGGTGCTTAGTCTGAGGACACTTCCAAAAATAGATCAGAGAGTGAGACGAGCCTGTGAAGGCGTCCCTCACCCACATACAAAACAAAAAAAAGCCCAAAACCCCAAACAGCTCTAGTTCTTCCCCTCTGTCTCTCTGGCCTTCTTTCCTATTCATTCTTCTCTTTATTCTTCCCTCTTCGAGACAGAAACTAGGGCTTGCTGTGAAGCGTGGAAGCATCCTCCTTTAGCAGCCACTCCAGTGGGGGTGGGGGGTTCGCTCTCTGTTGAATCTTTCATTCCTCTTGCGTTCCGTCATGTATTAATCATGCCCTCAGTCTGGCTGGCTGGAAATAACGGTGAGGCAGAAACAGAAAAACAAAAGTGGCTGCTCTGGCAGTCACGTGTGGCTGCCGCACATGGAGCGCAGCTTCAGCATGAGCGGCTGCTGATTGCACTGCCTGCTACGGACTGGTCATCAGTACCTCTGCATGCATTGTAGCACCATTGCATCTGCGTCCACAGACAGGCAGCTGTATTAGTAACTGTTTCTGTCTCTACACCTGACTTCCTTTGTTTGTTGAGAATACCTTATTCACTGTTCCTCAGGGCTGTTCTGTCTATAACAGCTTATCAGTCGTGGCCTTCTTGTCGACTAAGATTCTGTCAGTCGACTAATCGTGTCTGTCTATTTCTTTAATATGTTTATATTGATGTTTACATATATTACTGTTCTCAAACCCCAGGACGCTTTACAAAAGTCACAAAGTACATAATAAAGCAACGCACCAAGCAGCTTTGTAGCTGTGGTGTAGCATTGCCCAAGTGGCCGGTCTAGGCAGCTTCATAGCTGAAGTGTAGGGTCGCTGCAGTGGCCGGTCAAGGCAACCACATAGCTGCAGTGCGGGGTCGCTGGAGCAGCCAGTAGAGGCAGTCTTGTAACTGCGGTGCATGGTTGCTCGAGCGACTGGCCCAAGAAGCCTTCCAGCCAGTAGATGCGATAGCAGAATCATAACACACACACAAGTGTTCTGTTATTCTCGACGTGTTGTCTATGCGCATTAGCACTGGGTGCTGAAGAGTAAGGCAGATGCAATGTAGAAACAAAATAACAGAATAGTTATTAGTAGCTGACCATTCCACTAATTTAAAACAACTCTGCATAATTCAATCTTTTTGAGAGTCGAAATTAGAGAGAAACACACTAACTACCAAATCGTGATACTTAGAAAATCGTGTTAAATCTGAAAAGTTAAGTTCCTTTCCTAGGAACTATTTTGCTTCACAGTGCCCTGGATGTACCTCTCCACCATGAATGGAGATTAAAATACGTTTTAGGCCAAAACCTTACTTCATAACTGTTGTAAAAGAATGTCCCAGACATCAGACAGTATATGTGTAACCACTTCATGTTGTTGCCAATTCATGTAATGCATCCTAAGCCATATGTTATTCCAGTTTCAGAATGTTCATATTTTCATCTTATCAACTGTCACCTTTTGTTTCATAATCATGTCACGTTGCTTCTATAAACCTCACTCATTTTTACAATGGAGGCCTTTATGAAAGTGCACCACCACTGCAAGGCTGTCATAGTGGACGTACGGTTGTATTTGCATATACTCGCAAATCCATTTTTTAAAAAGCTCCCTCCAAAATACCTATGTGAGCATGCCCAGCCTGGATGTGCGAGTGTGCACATTCAGACCCTGAGGCTGTCCCACTGCTGGGTCTAAGTTTAGCGCTCTCGCTCTCTGCCTCACCCTCTCTGTCATACTCTTTTCATTCTTTCTCACTAAATAAATAATGCTAGTTTGATGCTTCTGTCTCTTTCATGCAAGCTTCATGTACAAGTCAAGTCAGTCCTCTGAGCTGCCGAACCCAGCTTGACACCTGCTTTCCATATCCTGAATAACAGACGGAGGGCATGTGAGGCTGTGCCCTGCCTTTGAGTGAGGGAGAGTGTGTGCTGTAGCTGCAGCGCTGCTGCTCCTGCCAGGCCACAGACACACACCAGCTCTCAGCTGGAGAACAGGAGTGAGCATGAAGGTTTTGAGTCTCTTCGGCTGTAGAGCAGGCTGGCCGGAGAGTTAATAGAGGGAGGACATTTTGTTTTTGCTGGCAGGGCAGGCGGCTGTGTTGACGCAGTCTGTCCCTTTCTGGGTGTAAAAGCGCTCGCCGACTTCCTTTCATACACCAGCACCATTCATAACACTCCAGCTGTCAGGGGCTCGTCACCGATTTCCCCCGCAGAAATTGCCTTTCATGGTGAGACAGTCGAGATTCAAAAAAGTGGGAGCAAGACAAATCGGGATTATTTGGGCATGATAACAGTGCTGTAACAAATGCAGGGAGAGATGGGAGAGAGGAATAGAGACACAGAGACCTGGGGGGACGTGTCTTCTATCACCACTTCACCTCAGGAAGGCCTTGTTAATTAACTGATTAGTTGGATCAATAGTGTTAGAGCAGAAAACATCAGTGATAATGACAACGATAAAATGTGGCGATTTTTTTCTTTATTAGTAATGTACATTTTAAATAAAACGTTTATGCTGTTCTGTCCCTAAATCCACTAGATGCACTTTTTACTTGTTACACCAAGACGGAGAAGTCTAGCTATTCTCTTAGAACAGCACAAACTAGCATGACAGCGGTGCCAGGCAGCTCACTATCAGTTATGAAGTTATGTAAACAAAAAAAAAGGACCGTTAATTTGCAGAAAACAACTAGTTGAGTACGGCTGTATATCCACTGCAGTGTGGACTTTATTTCTTTTTCTCCGCAAGATGTTATTGGCATCACCAGCAATATGCATCTAATAATTAGCGATATCAAATGATACTGAAGAATATATTGTGATCATTTTTTTTAGTCATATCGCCCATTCCTAGATCAGGATGGATATTTCATGTTTCTCAGGGTAGACTGCCTGTTCTCCCTCTCAGAGCAGATCTGACTGCATGGCTGATGTGTCAGCTCCGGCACCTCCTGCATCACAGCAGTCACTTTTAGTGACTGGGCTTGTGCCTGGAATGGCTGATATCTGGAGACCAGGGAATTTAGTACTTCTCTATCTTGCTCCCTATCCAATTCTTTCTTTCTTTCTCTCTCTCTTTCTCTCACTCTCTCGCTCTCTCTCTCTCTCTCTCTCTCTCTCTCTCTCTCTCTCTCTCGCTCTCTCTCTCTGTGTTTCTAACTCTCTCCCGATCCTTCCCTCCTGCCTTTCTCCACTATAATTGGAGCTCTTTCAGGCTTTCCGCTGAAGTCAAACGCCTGCCTGAGTTTGTGAGGCTGGTGGTTTAGGGCTAATCTTTTTGTGCGTGTGGGGAGCAGTCAGATCAGTGTGTGAGGTTCTCACCTCTCTTTTGAAAAGCATCTCATGAAATTAGATGTATACTGTCATTGTAGTGTCCTAGAATCTGTATTTCTCTGCCCAGAGATGATATGAAGCACAGTGAATACACTCTGTGCACAGTGAATGCTCCACGTGTGTAATGAATACTCCTCATGCACAGCGAATACACCTGTGCACGGTTAATACTCCTTGTGCACATTGAATACTCTATACAGCGAATACTCCTTATGCACACTGAATACTCTGCACACTGAGTACATCTTGTACACAGTGAATACTGCTTGTGCGCTTCTGTACGGTGGATGTGCTGAAGTCCCACTGCTAGCCTGGGATTACACATTTACCTGCTTTTAAAGGACTGCTGTACTGTAAGGACTGCAAATTTCTGATGATACTCAATGATTTTTCCTTTCCACAGATGGCCTTCCAAGCAAAGAGCAGCCGCTGGAACTTCTGAAGCCATCTGGACTCAACCATATTCCCACCGGTAGGACTTTTTGTCCTCTGTGTATGTGTGTGTTTATGCACATGTAGCATCCCTGTGGGCTTACCTCAGACTGGTGTGTCCCTCCAAGAGCAGCCAGGCACTAGAGCATACTAATGAAGCGTTGCTTCATTAATTGCCTGTTAAACTGTTCTTACCCACATAAAGACAGAATAACACATAATATTTTTTGCTCTCTGGTTAGATTTCATTTAAATGTTCTCACCACTTGTCTCCCATTTTTGATGAATTTTATCCTGCATTTACCCTGCTTTAATTTTTCTCCTTACCTTTATTCTTACTTAATTGTGTTGTGGCATTTTATCCAAGGTTGAATAGAACAGAATGTAACAGAATTTTATGAGACTACAGTCAGTTTGGGACAGAGTTTTTTGGGCTGTGGTCAGGCTGGGACAGAGTTTTTTTCTGAGTTTTGTTTGTTTTGTACAGTGGTCTTCAGTGATGTTGTAGTACCAGCGTCCGTTCTCTGTGTCAAAACCAAGAACGAATTAATATTCTTGGCTGTCTCAACACCATTTGCACTCTCTCTTATCTTAGTCTTTGGCTAAGGTGGGCTTGAAAATTGTTCTCAGGACAAACTGAGTGCGATGCCTCTGTCTGAGGTAACTGGAAACTAAACTCTTTTCTAGGATTATTGAACATCAAAAACACCTTCATACAGAATAATAATAATAATGATAATAATTATATATATATATATATATATATATATATATATATGTGTGTGTGTGTGTGTGTGTGTGTGTGTGTGTGTGTGTCTTACTCTTGTCCTGTTCTCGCCTGAGTCTTGCTGCTGCTGGTCTCGGCCTTGACCCAGACTACTGCAAAGTCAAAGCTGTCAGACAGAATTTGTCGGTATATACTTGGTTAAGGACAGAATTTTCCCAAGCCACAATTCTGATACATTCTTGTTCAGACAGAATTTTGTTGGGTTACGGTCGTCTTCAGAGTTGGGCCAGAATTGTATTAGGCTACAGTTGGGACAGGATTTTGTCTGGCTGTAGTTGGGTTGGGACAGAATTTTGCTGAGCTACAGGTGGATTTGAATTCAAAACTTAGTGCTGTGGGTCGAGTCGGGCAAAATGTTCTCATCACACTGCTGAAGCTCTGTCATCGTACTGTGATGCTAAAGCATTAACATGTTAGTGCTGCTGAACACTGATAACAGAAAAAAACGACAGTATACATGTCGAACACTCTACAACAGCAAGAATAAGGACTGTACATTTTTACATATTTGGTCTGAAGCATGATAATTAGTGTTTTCTGCCAGCAGAGCCTGGCAATGAGAAGGCAGAGGAGCTATTTGTGTGTTAGTGTGTGTGTGTCTGTCTATCTGTCTGTCTTTCTGTGTATTTATCTCAGTGCTAGAGTGGGTAGCAGTGGTTGGCCACAGACACAGTGCTTAGCTTTGATTTCCCTTGATTTAGTGGTTTCTCTCTATCCAGCTTCAGGAGAGTGTATATACGTGCTCTCACACACAAATACACATGGTTAACTGTGTGGAGTACCACTGACAGCCTGCACTGTGATGAACTGACATGCTACACTGTGAGAAGCGGAGAATGTGTGCTTATAATGTTATTAAAAATGTAATAGTTAAAATCCATTAATGTGTTATAATGCTTATAGCCCAGTCCATAATCTCTTATGACAGCTGCCTTTGGCTGGATTTTTCATGTCAGTATGAGATGTGCGCTTTAAAGACACTGGAGATCAGATTGCGATGATTGATGTTAACAGGATCTGTAATCAAATGTTAGTGAGTTAGTTCCAGTGACTGCAGGGCATTAATAGAGAGATTTGTTACTCTTTCGTAAGTCATAACTAAGATGTTTTAGGTTTGCATTTAAATTGGGTTTGGGCTGATTTTTAGCAGGATTTTGGCTAGTTCGAGTTGGATTTAAGCTAGCTTTGAATGGGATCTTATAGGACTGTACGTTTAGATTTTTAGATGGTACCAGTAGCACACATTGGTGACGGTAACTGCGTGGCTCAGCTAAGTTTTAGCTAGAACGACATCTCAGAACCGAGTTTGTTTGTGTTATGTATAGATCTTGGGTTTAGGCTGGGTTTGAGCCAAGCTGGGTTTAGGCTGAATTTCAGCTGATTTGGGTTTAGGCTGTGTTTGAACTGAGTTGAGTTTAGATTGGGATTTATCTGAGTTATCTGAGCCTTAATGAGTTTAGGCTGGATTTGAGCTGAGCAGTGTTTGGGTTTAGGCTGAGTTTATGCTGGATTTGAGCTGTGTCAAGTTTGGACTGGGTTTGAGCCGAGTTGGATTTAGGTTGAGTTTAGACTGGGTTTGAGCCGACTTGGGTTTAGGTTGGGTTTAAGCTGAATTTGAGCAGAGTTGGGTTTAGGCTCAGTTGGGTTTAAGCTGAGTTTGAACAGAGTTTGATTCAGGCCGAGTTTGACCCGCGTTGGGTTTAGTTTAAAATGAGTTAGGCTTAGGCTGGGTTTGACTTCTGTTGAATAAAGGCTAGGTTTGTGTTGGGTTTGGGTTAGGTTGGGTTTAGGCCTAGTTAAGGTTCAGTACAGTCTAGGTTTAGGCTGGGTTAAGGTTCAGTACCGTCTAGGTTTAGGCTGAGACAGACACAGATAGGAAGCAGATGGTGCCGACGGCTGTTTTTTGGCCATGTGGTCTCCTTCCCTGTAGACAGACCCACTACCAGCAGCCTCTCTACCTCTCCCTCCATCTTTCCTCTCTTTGTCTGTTTGCCTGTCTGTCTGCCTCCACTGTTCTTCTGCTGGACCCCCACTCACCCAGCTAGTGTCCCACATACGTCCCACACTCTGCATGCCACTGTGCAATATCAGACTCATTTATCTGTTATTTGCTCTGTGTGAAACATGTAGCATTTAGATATCATATCTCATACACATTAGAGAAGATATCTGAAGTGTACCCCTCTCTCTCTCTCTCTCTCTCTCTCTCTCTCTCTCTCTCTCTCTCTCATATCACCATAGGGTCCAGTGCCTGCTGAGAGCTGATGTCACTGGGCTATACTTGGTGTGCCTTATGTCTTATTCATGCAGACTGCCGGTTTGTCCGGCTGCTCTGTGTGTGTGTGTGTTTAGTGTGTGAGTACAGGCTTGCAGTATATCTGTGTGGGTGTGTGTGTTTGGTTGTATTGCTCTTATGATGTGTGTTCAGTGTGCTGGTGCTGATTATCTGTCACTTTAACACAGTAAATCACCTAATAACCGATGTCGGCCTATTACTGGAATAACGCACAATACATGTCATGCATGTAAACGGCCAGCTAAAGGACGGGTGTGACGGCACTTTTTATTCTCTTTTTGTGTGGGTGTGACATTAAATATTCACAGGATCACTTGGCATAATGCTGAATGGGGTGAGACACTGTACCGTTACCAAAACAAACACAGCTCACTAAACAGTGGAGACATTTTAACAGGTGGGATTTCTGATAAAAGGTAAGGCCGGGTGATGGGTTTGTTTGAGGATTGGGGGAGGGGCAGGGAAAAAACAGATTCGTTAGATTCAGCTAGATTCTAATGCGGTGATGCACTTTAAATGTAAGCCTGGAAATGAGGAATCACTGTATATAATAATCTGTTGTTGGATTTTGGCATCTGTCACCAGTGGTCTTGTCTTATATTCAAAATTGTGGAAAGTGTTTTATATATATATATATATCCCGTCTAAAATCAGTTGTGGAAGCTGCCTTTAATCCTGAATTTTGAACACTCTACGTTCACATATGTAGAATACATAGTACATTATATAGTGACCTAATCCTAATTCCTCCCCACTGAGGTCCAGGTGATTGGCAGAGGTCACCAGTGTTTGCATTTCCACTCAGCTAATTTCCATAAGCACTGCTTGACCAACAGTTGATGACTGATGCATGCCATCCTCCTCTGCACTGATTGGCTGCCTGCTCTTCCCCAAGTTGTGTGAGAGCATCGGGTTGGGTTTAACATCGTCAGCGCTGTCTGTTTGCTTCCTGCTATGAACGGGGAAATGAAAATGAAGTGGATATGGAGATGGGCTTTTGACTGCTTGTTAAACACCCACCTCTAGCCGCTGGAAACCCGGCCCACTCTGTATAAACATGGAAATGTGTTTGCACCTGTTCCCAGATGCGCTCTTTATTGCCAAGTACAATTGCCTTTGATGGCAAATTGTTAACATAGGCGTAAGAAATGGGAGGTTGTATCGAAATAGCTCAGTGTGTGTGTGTGTGTGTGTGTGTGTGTGTGTGTGCATGTGTGTATGTGTGTGTGAAACATTTGGAGTGTTTGCTGTTTGAAGAGGAGGTTCTGACGCCCCTGATGACCAGAGCGCACTGATGAAGTTGATAAAGACAGATTTCCCTGCATATTAACGAGGCTGAGTGCGAGCCTGGCTCATTCATTCAGAAGCACAGCAGCCTGCGCGCCATTCAAACTGCCAGCACTGCAGAGAGTGGCACGCTTACACCGGGGTGTGCATGTGGGCGGGTGCAATATACCAGATACATCTCACTCTAACACTGCCTCTCCTTTAGTGTCTGCCAGAACGCAGCTCTCCAAAAATGTGTCCGTGCCTACGCACAAATACACACAGGCGCACCATCACTCCACTTAAACGGGCTGAGTCTTACTGTGTGTGTGTGCATGCCTGTGTGCGTGTGTGCATGCATTGGCCTAAAGGTGGCAATTCAACTGTGTTGGTTTTGGAATGTTAGAAATAAATGGTAATAATAATCATTAAAATTTGCACTCATTTCTTTTTGGGCATTTTCAAATGTAAAAAAATAGAATTAGAATGTCAAGCGTAGGGCTCCAGCTATCAAATACTTTTCTTTCTTTTTTAATATTCTGTTGAATATTATTTGTCCACTGGAATATTCTATAAGAATACAAAAAGCTCAAGACAAGTTTTCTTTTTAGGAGCCTGTATACATCCAGCCCTTGTACGGAATACAAAAACAGCCTTTTTGAGTTCATTCATTGACTTTAACAGTGTCACG